GATGTTAAAAGGGAGCTGATATCAAGGAGTTCAGAAAAGAAAAGAATATTTTGAAACTAATTGTGGTAGCAACTGTATAATACTGCGTGATGTGAGTGAACTATGGAATAATGTGATACCTGTATTAGCTCTCAATAAAATGATTTTTACAAAAAGAATTATCTATATGCATTTAAAAGGACAAGTGTTAATCTAAAGTACAGGTGAGAACTTTAAAAGAGATGGAGCCTAATTTAATAATCATGAAACAACATGGGTAGAGACAGTGATAAGGTGACACAATGTGAAGTATACAGCCAATGTTATTGAACTATTTGTTTAGAAACTGTGATTAACTATATTGTGGCAGTTGGGGATTGTGTCAACTAGACACTCCTGGAGTGGAATCCACCCTGCCAATCCCGTCACCAACTGATGACACCTCCTTGATGTCATAAGCCTTTACATAAGAAAAAGATGAACAGAGAGTATTTCTTTCTCTAGCACTCCACCTTCCTGCCTGCTGGAACTCTGCCTGCCTCTAGTGCAGGACCACATGTGAGCTCCCAGCTTGACCCTGAGAGACGTTGGTGTTCTGCCATGTTTCAACTGAACTTTGCTTCCGCTGGCCCGTGATCTTCTTGCTTCCTGCTTCACTTTTCTGCATCACTATGTGAGTTTGAAAAGGGACTACTGGAGTAGCATCAGACTGATGGACTTGAGTTGGATTGCATTGGGATGCCTTCTTGATATAAAGCTTTTTCTTAAACATAGATGAGTGTCACTGGATTTGTTTCTCTACACAACCTAGCCTAACACGTGTATGTATCATGGTGTATATGATCATTAAAAATAAATATAATCTTTATGAAAATAAAAATGAAATTAATATATGTTCCACAATTTACCATTTCATTTCTCACCACTGCAATGCCAGCTATTTGTTCTGCTACTTCGGCTACAAATACCTGCAGTGGTGTTCCATCCTAAAAAAGATAAACATACACTTGAAGATTCTTTAAAACAACAGTATTGATATTTTTATAAACAGCCAGTAATGGATTTTAACCATGATCACATCCTAACAATGATAGCACCAATGTCCATCAGACACTTATTATATGCTAAGTATTAAGTTAAATATCCTCCCTGTGTTCACTTCATCATTACAACAATCTTATGAGGTAATATTGTTATTATATCTATTTTATACTCATGCAATTGAATAACTTGCTCAAGATCCAAGTGGTAAGGGATATATTTATAATTCAGAGCCCAATATCTTTGACTCTATATCACTGGTTCTCAATGATGTGAACACAAGATCCCTTTACACATTAGACTTCAAAGAACTTGGCTTATTGTGCATTCCCATCTAAAACACACCACACACACACACACACACATACTAAGCATTGTCACTGAGTCCATTCTAACGCACAATAACCCTGTAAGACAGAGAAGACAGGGTTTCCAAAGCTGTAAATCTTGTGGAAGCAGAATGCTACATCTTTCTCCTGAGGCATGGCTGGAGCGCTCCTATTACCAATCTTTTAGCTATAATCATTTAACCATTGTGCACCAAAGATTCTGTAACGTGTGCAATAAACCCACTGCCCATAAGTCCATTATAACTCATAGCTACCCTATAGGACAGAATAGAACTGCCCCTTTAGGTTTCCAAGACTTTAAATCTTTTTTTTTTAAATCATTTTATTGGGGTTCATACAACTCATCACAATCCACACATACATCAATTTTGTAAAGCATACTTATACATTCGTTGCCCTCATCATTCTCAAAACTTTTGCTTTCCGCTTGGGCTCGTGGAATAAGTTCCTCACTTTCCTTCCCCGCACCTCCCTCCCCACACCCCCCTCCCTCGTGAACCCTTGATAATTTATAAATTATTATTTTATCATCTCTTACACTGCCTGGCGTATCCCTTCACCCACTTTTCTGTTGCTCATCTCCCAGGGAGGAGGTTATATGTAGATCCTTGTGATTGGTTCCCCCTTTCTACCCCCCTTCCCTCCAGGTATCGCCACTCTCACCATTGGTCCTTAGGGGTTCATCTGCCCTGGATTCCCTGTGTTTCCAGCTCCCATCTGCACCGCTGTGCATCCTCTGGTCTAACCAGGTTTGCAAGGTAGAATTGGGATCATGATAGTGGGGGGGAGGAAGCGTTTAAGAACTAGAGGAAGGTTGTGAGTTTCATTGATGCTACACTGCACCCTGAGTGACTCCTCCTCCCCACTACTCCTCTGCAAGGGATGTCCAGTTGTCTACAGATGGACATTGGGTCCCCATCACACGCTCCCCCACCACCACCTTTGGTGCTTGATACCTGGTCCCCTCGACCCTTCACGATCACACATGCCGGTGTGCTTCTTCCATGTGGGCTTTGTTGCTTCTGGGCTAGATGGCCGCTTGTTTACTTTCAAGGCTAAGACCCCAGATGCTGTATCTCTCGATAACAGGGCACCATCAGCCTTCTTCACCACACTTACTTATGCACAAAGTTGTCTTCAGCATTTATATGGGGAAGGTGATCACACAATGATGGTTTTTGTTCTTTGGTGTCTGCTACGTGATCCCTTCATCATCTCATGATCGCACAGGCTTGTATACTTCTTCCCTGTGGGCTTTGTTCCTTTTGAGCTAGATGGCTGCTTGTTTGCCTGCAAGCCTATAAGATTCCAGATGCTATATCTTTTGATAGCCGGACACTATCAGCTTTCTTTACCACGTTTGACTTTAAATCTTTATGGGCACAGACAGCCTCATCCTTCTCCTACAGAGCAACTACTGACCTTGCAGATATTAGCTTAATACAAAATAAAACTGAGAAAATTTTAAAATATTGGTTTCTCATTTATTTTAAAATAAAAATACATTATATTTTAATATATATAACTATTTTCAAAATTATTAAAACGATTCGTTTTTATTTAATATATTTGCAATGTGTTTTGCTGCTTGGATTATTGGAAGACAACTCTATTTCAGATCTATCTCTGCATTAAATCTTTTGCAAAATGTTGTTTTGGTTGAAACATAATGAAAATATATATTCACAAAGTTAAATGGTTAGAAAAGGAAGAAAAATGCAAATCATCTTTTCAGATAATTATGGATATTCTTCTTTCATATTCCACCAAAATTCAACAAGTAGTACTTTTTATGTTTTGTGAGATATTTTTAAACTAAATTTTTAAATTGTGAATTAGATGAGGGTAATTTACATCTCAGTCCATCTCTGCATTCAAACCACTCATCAACCTCCCCCTGCCCCTACCCTGTATTCTCTTCCACAACCCCTCATGATTTTACTTTTCCCTCCTACGGGACTCCATCCGCCCTTTCAACTAAGCCCAAACCCGTCAACCTTCAAATCCATTGTTTTATTTTCTCACCCCTGCCCTCCTTCCCTCAGGAACCGCTAGTCTGCTCCCTCTGGTATGCACGTCTTCGTCTTGGTTTTTATCCTTGTCACGGTGGTCTCAGACAATATTTGTCCTTTTTCGGTTAACTAACTTCACTCAGTATAATGTTCTCTAGGTACATCCATGCCAGGAGGTATTTTATAGCTTTATCTTTTTTTTTTAGCAATGTATAGCATTCTAGTGTGTGTATGTACCAAAGTTTATCTATTCTTCAATTGTTGGACATTTGGGCAGTTTCCAAATTCTTACTTTTGTGAACAACGCTAAGATAAACATGGGAATGTGTGTGTCTATTTGTGATATGGCTCTTACTTCTCTAAGGTATTTACCCAGCAAAGATATTGCAAGGTTTTATGGAATTTCTATTCCCAGATGTTTGAGGTATCTTCACTTTGCTTTCCACAAGCGTTGTACATAGTTACAGAAACCCTAGCAGTGAATGAGAGTTCCCATATCCTCACAACCTCTCCAGCCTTTGTTGGGTTCTGGGTTTTTTAATTGGTCTGTCATTTCCACTGTAAGATTATTGCTTTGATTTGCAACTCCTGGCAGACTAATGATGGTGAATATTTTTTCATGTGTTTGTTAGCCATTTGGGTGTCATTTTTGGTGAACTGTCTATTGGGTCATGTCGTTTGCTCACATTTAATTGGATTGCTTTTAAAAAATCTTATTGAAGTATTGTGGTTTTAGAGATTAGCCCCTTGTCCATTGTGTCTTTGCTAAAGATTTTTCACAGCCTGTGTCAAACAGTCCAAGAGAACTAAAAGGGTTCTCTTTTTACTCCTTTAATGCAGTATTTTGATTCACAGAGTGTTTAATTTTTAATAGGATGAGTCATTTTTTTGTTTTCTATTGGTGTGCTTCCTTCACTGTGTTTGATAGCATGCCTATATCCTGCAATAGGGCCCTTAAGTTTTGTTTTCTCATTGACAATCTTTATATTTCTGGGATTTATGTTTATGTCTTTGACTCATCTTGAGTTAATTTTTTATATGGGGTGAGGTCTGGGTACTGTTTCATTCTTCTGCAGATGGAGATATAATTTTGCCAGTACCACTTGCTAAAGAGACTATTCTCTCTTTCCCATTAAATGTCTTTGACCCCTGGTCAAAGATCAGAGTCCTGTATGTGAATAATTTTTTATGGGTTTTCTATACTGTTACATTGGTCTATATACCTCTCATCATCCCAGTGACAGGCTATTTTGACTACTATGGCTATGTATTTATTAGCTTTTGATGTTGAGTAGTAAGTGACCTTCTATTTTGTTCTTCTTTAGAAGTTCCTTGTTTTTCTGGGGTCTGTTACTTCTCCATATAAAATTAGTAAGCTGTTATTTCATTTCTTTAAAAAATGGAATTGGGATATGGATCAGATGTGTATTGTATTTATGGGTTTCTTTGGCAGTTTCTTTGGCATTTTCATAGTATTAAGCCTTCCATCCATGAACATAGAACATTCTTCCATTTGTGTATGTCTCTTTTGGTTTCTTGTAATCGTGTTATGTAGTTTTTCTTGTATAAGTCTTTTGTTTCTGTGATTTGGTTTATTTATAGTATTTTATATTTTGC